ACATACATCTCTGCCTGTGTGCATACCTGGTTCTTTTTTTTTTTTTTTTGAGACAGAGTCTTGCTGTCACCAGGCACTAGGCTGGAGTGCAGTGGCGCAAGCTCGGCTCACTGCAACCTCCGCCTCCTGGGTTCAAGCAATTCTCCTGCCTCAGCCTCCTGAGTAGCTGGGATTACAGGCACGCGCCACCATGCCCAGCTAATTTTTTTTTTTGTATTTTTAGTAGAGACGGGGTTTCACCATGTTGACCAGGATGGTCTCGATCTCTTGACCTCGTGATCCACCCGCCTCGGCCTCCCAAAGTGCTGGGATTACAGGCTTGAGCCACCATGCCCGGCCTCCAGCTAATTTTTGTATTTTTTAGTAGAGACGAGGTTTCACCATGTTGGCCAGGATGGTCTCGATTTCTTAACCTAGTGATCCGCCCCCCTCAGCCTCCCAAAGTGCTGGGATTACAGGCGTGAGCCACCGCACCCGGCCACCTGTTTCTATATTAGAACCTGTGCATTTTATGCTGATACCTCCAAATCTAATCTAACATTACAGGGTTTATTTTAGCCTCTGCCTTTTAATGTTGGTAACTACCTTCTACACCAGTGAGAAGCATGCTCGGTATATTCACTTCCTTGTTCAATTTGCCTGTGTATAACCACCTCCCAGCTGTGCTCAGGCTACACCTTGGCTCCCCAGCTCTACCGGCCACACCACAGCCACATCCTCAGCCCAACAGAAGGGAAGAGGAAGGGGTGCAAATTAGTGTGAGTACCCTTGAATTAACAAGTTCTAGGGCTGGGCGTGGTTGCTCATGCCTGTAATCCCAGCACTTTGGGAGGCTGAGGCAGGTGGATGGTTTAAGCTCAGGAGTTTGAGACCCGCCTGGATGACGTGACAAAACCCTGTCTCAACAAAAAGAAAAACCCACAAAAAAATAGCCAGGTGTGGTGGCATGCACCTGTAGACCCAGCTACTCAGAAGGCTGAGGTGGGAGGATGGCTGGAGCCTGGGAGGCAGAAGTTGCAGTAAGCTGTGGTTGTGCCACTGCACTCCAGCCTGGGTGACCCTGTCTCCAAAACGAAACAGAAGTGATCTCACTTTCTGGGGATCTTCAGCTGCTTTGGCCTTGCTCACCTGCCTTGCCCTTTTCTGGCTACTGTCTTTCTCTCCTTGTGCGTCACTCTACATTCCAGTTAGAATATTGTTTCTGTGAATGCTGACTGCAGGTCCACCAGAGAAACTGCCTTGGTCATCCAAGGATAAACCTGGTCTGCCATGGTGTGTTTTTTCTTCTCACTTTAGTGCAGTAGTGACATTATAGCCCACTGTAACCTCAAACTCCTGGGCTCAAGTGATCCTCCTACCTCAGCCTCCCAAGTAGCTGGGACTACAAGCACCTACACCATGCTTAACTGATTTGTTTCCTTTTTTTTAAGAGCTAGGGATCTCACTTTGTTGCACTAGTTTCAAATCCCTGGCCTCCTCCTAGCCAGGCATAGTGATACATGCCTATCATCCCAGCTACTTGGGAGGCTGAGGCAGGAGAATTGCTTGAGCCTGGGAGGTTGAGGCTGCAGTCAGCCATGATCATGCTACTACGCTTTGTCCTGGGTAATAAAGCAATACCTTATCTCAAAAAAACAAAAAAATGTGATCAGATTGGATCATCTATTCAAAACTAATGAGCCTTACTCATTCCCATTTGGGTAACATATTCTTTTCTTGTGTGAAGTACTGACTACTGATTTTCTGATGTCTCACGTGGCGTCAAAGCATGCCGATGCAGAGTGAAAGATGGAAGAGAGGGGAGGCTTTCCCAGCTGATTTATTTCTCATCTCTTCCAAAGAACAATGTCAAAAGTAACCAAGTAGACATTCTGTAGACGTTCTACAGAACATAGATCTTTAGAGTTTTTTGGAGTGAAATTTTCTTTATGCTGCGTGATCATAATTAATTTATAATCTTACTCATTGGGTTGGCTCTGAAATAGGAAACAAGTAAGTGAGTGTCTGTCTTCTAGGGAAATAGGTGAGTGATGAAAATAAAAGCACATCAGATGTGGGAGTACAGGCGTGGTGGCTCACGGCTGTCATCCCAGCCCTTTGGGAGGCCGAGGAGGGTGGATCACGAGATCAGGAGTTCAACACCAGCCTGGCCAATATGGTGAAACCCCGCCTCTACTAAAAAAATTTATAAAAATTAACCAGGCGTGGTGGCACATGCCTGTAGTCCCAGCTACTCGGGAAGCTGAGGCAGGAGAATCGCTTCAACCTGGAAGGGGGAGGTTGCAGTGAGCCGAGATCGCACCATTGCACTCCAGCCTGGGCGTGAGTTTCTGAGACTCTGTCTCAAAAACAAACAAAAAGGATGTCGGAGCGCTGATTTGGTTGGCGCCATCGGTTTAGAGATTAGAATCTCTCATAAGAAGACCCCAGGGGACTCTTGCCTTCAGTTCCATGCTCTCCTCCAGTGTGCCAATCTCCATCCCCATCCCCTAGGAACAGAGTGTGGAGGTTGATGAGCTAAGTCCGTATGGAGCACCAGCATGAAGATTTGCTACACACATCAGCATGACTGGGGGCCGGGGCAGCAGCATGCGCTAGCATGCACATCACCCCTCCTCTCAGGAAGAGCACGACACAGGTGATTCTGCCTCCTTCACCTTTTGTGCCAGCTTCAGTTTATAGAGGTGACTGGCTGGAGTGCCATCTCAAGAAGAATGTGGAATCACAAGAAAGATCAGTGGAAAGGGGGCTCCTTGTTGACTGACAGTGCCTGTGTGGCCCACGGTGGGAGAAGATAGGTTATTTCTTGAATATGCGGCATCCTTACACTGTAGAGTGGTAAATAATGTGTCGGTGGGTGGCGGGTAATAGAAGTTGCAGCTGGTGTGAGTGGGACCTGGCCTGAGGTTGAAGGGGGAGTAGACGGGTGGCAGGAGAGCGTGTTGGCTCAGCCATCATGTAGGCACAGGCCCGGTGACCGGGGTGGGTGAGCAGGGGAGCCATTGTGAGGAACGGAGAGGTGGGAGATTAAGTGGAAAGGTGGGGCAAGAGAGGTGAGGAATGAGGGTGGTGGCTGTGAAGCTTTCCAAGGTCAGCTGACGAGATCCTTCCTGCCCTCTGACTGTCACCACAGACCTAGCCTAGCCTGAAGTTCCTTGAGGGCAGAGTGGATGCACCTGGATATCATCAACTTTCGGTACCAAAAGCACTTGAGTAAAATGGCAGTTTTCTCCTATTCCTGCTAATTAATGGTATATGTGGTTCTTGTCTTTTTCTTTCTGACCATTTTATAAATACATTTTAAAACACAGCTGGATTAATATAGCCTTAAACAGCAACCTAAAAAGATGCAACATGTCAGGAGAGGTGGGAACCCTTCCCATTCTTCACACAGCACAGCTGTGCAGCCAGCAGTTACTGCAGCTCTGCTGGATTCTCACTAGTGATGGCGCAATATGCCAGACAATTTCAGGGATGTTTCAATGGGCAATGGGAGAAAAATCGCAATTCTCTTCCCCATGTGGCTGGAGGCAAGTCTGGAGCTGCTTATGCCCTCTTTTTTTTTTTTTTTTTTTCCCAGAAAGAATCTTGCTCTGTCGCCTAGGCTGGAGTTCGGTGATGTGATCTCGGCTCAGTGCAACCTCTGCCTCTCAGGTTCAAGTGATTCTCCTGCCTCAGCCTTCCAAGTAGCTGGCGCCTGCCACCACACCCAGCTAATTTTTGTATTTTTAGTAGAGCTGGGGTTTTACCATGTTGGTCAGGCTAGTCTCGAGCTCCTGGCCTCAAGTGATCCACCTGCCTTGGCCTCCCAAAGTGCTGGGATTACAGGTGTGAGCTACCACGCTCTGCCTATACCCTTTGTTTTCCTAAGATTTTTTTACACTTTTGATTCTGGAAGCTCTAAGAAAAAACTACATTGAAGGAGAAGGAGAAGGAAACCATTAGTATATATTTTACAGTTTCTCTTTGTTTAGGCATCTATCTGTTGGACAGATTTAGGTCCATCATGTCTAAATATCTGCTGACATCATAATTTTTTGTGTTTTAGGAAGTAGAGTGCTTAGAGGCATGGAGCTTGGAGCCAGGCTGCTTAGTTTTGAATCCTGGCTCTCCTGTTTTCTTGCTCTTTTAACGTGGACAAGGTACTCTGCCTTTCTGTACTCAGCTCTTTGAAAATGAGGATAGTAATAATACATGCTATGTAAGTTTATTGTAAAAAGTAACTGAGCTGGGCATGGTGGCTTACACCTGTAATCCAAGCACTTTGGGAGGCCAAGGCAGATGGATCACTTGAGGTCAGGAGTTTGAGACCTGCCTGTCCAAACATGACGAAACCCCATCTCTACTAAAAATAAAAAAAATTAGCTGGGCGTTGTGGCGTGCACCTATAGTCCCGGCTACTTGGGAGGCCGAGGCAAGAGAATCTCTTGAACCCTGGAGGCAGAGGTTGCAGTGAGCTGAGATTGCACTGCTACACTCCAGCCTGGGCCGACAGAGCAAGACACTGTCTCAAAACAAAAAAAATGAAGTGAGATGATGCTTAAGCATGGACGTGATACCTGGTGCATCCTAAGTGTTGAGAAGATGATCACTGTCACTATTGAGGGTTTTGTTTGTGGAAAGGGGAAACAGTACTGCTATGGTGGTAGGGTCTGTATTCCTACTTGAGTGTTGGGGTCCAGGCTCAGCTCTGTACTAGATTCTAGGCCTTAATTTTCTCATCTTTTAGAGGGACCAGTAATGCCCTGTCTTACTTAGATCAAATGTAAAAATGAAATGCCTTGAGAAGTGCAAAGCAACACAGAGATGCTACATTGTATTACTGCTGTTATAGTAGGAGTGGCGGTGGTAGTTAATGATGATATTCATTAAAATTGATCCAATTTTAATTTTAAAGCAGCAGGAATGATTACTTGTGGTGGTAGTTTATGTACATTACCAACAAACACATTTGCTTTTTCTTGAAGTAAGATAACGTTTTAGTTTTTTTTCCCTCCTAGGAACCTCGGAGAGCTGATAGATCGGTTTGTGGCTGATTTCAAAGCCCAGGGGCCCCCTAAGCCCAACACTGATGAAGGGGGTGCTGTGCTCCCCAGCTGTGCCGACCTCTTTGTCTATTACAAGAAGTGCATGGTGCAGTGCTCCCAGCTCAGCACTGGGGAGCCAATGATCGCCCTGACCACCATTTTCCAGAAGTACCTCCGAGAATATGCCTGGAAAATCCTCTCTGGCAACCTGCCCAAGTGAGTCGTGTTCATCATAGTCTGAATGGTGAAGTGAGATGCAAATATACCTAAATATGGGAATCTTTAAGGAAATCCACTCCGAAGTTGTTTACTGAACCCCTGAGAGTGTCAAGGAAGAAAGCACTCTTACTGAGTTCCCGAGGGTCTGAAGGGATTTCCTCTCTGACGTTCCACAGCTGATGAAAATCGTGAGAGGGAATGTCCACACTGGCTGCCCATGTGGGCCAACCTTGCCCCGGTGGACAAAGGGGAACCAGTCCCATTGTACATGTATTTAATTTCCGTGGATTCAACTATAGATACTTGGCACACACAGAAAAAGTGAGGTTGTGGTGCAAATAACTGTTAAAAAGCATAAGTGGTTTCACTGAAGCCTCCTTGGGTGAGATTATGCCCCAGAGTGAGGGTGGGGGGAATGAACCTGCTCTTTTCTCGTTCTAGTAGGCTCCAAGTCCCTCTTGTGGTACGCACTTCTTGCCATGCTGGACAGAGCCTAGTGTTTCAAGATAGAGTAGGATTGTGGGGTGGCTGGTGCATAGCTTCTGGTTATGGTGACTGTTGTGTCATTCTGGGGCTTAGAATATTGTCGTATTGCTTACTATTGAAATAAGTGGATCATTCAACTAGGATTTTAGAGATGTTTTGATTATATGATAGGTTTCACTGTAATAGAATGTGACTTAAATTGATGCTTCTGAATTTCGTATTTGTAAATTACCCCCATGGCTAAATTTAACAATTCTGGAATTAGTTTCTGTCATGATCACTAAAATGTGTCACATATGGGAGTTTCATGTTACTTGAAAGAGAATAAAATCTCGTGCTGTACAGGAGATGTGAAGTGACAGGTATGTTTTACTGGTGAGAACTTCTTTGACTATGACAAAAATCATTTTAAAATTTTAATAACTTTTGTTCTGATTATCAAGATAACACAAGTTCATCATAGCTTACAAAACATAGAAAAGCATGAAGAAAAAAACAAAAATTGGCCAGGTAATCCCAGCCTTTTGGGAGGCTGAGGCAGGAGGATGACTTGACTTCAGGAGTTTGAGACGAGCCTGGTCAACGTGACGAAACCTTGTTTCCACTAAAAATGCAAAAATCAGCTGGGCTGTGGTGGCGCGTGCCTCTGAACCCAGCTACTCAGAAGGCTGAGGCAGGAGAATCGCTTGAACCCAGGAGGTAGAGGTTGCAGCGAGCTGAGATCGCACCACTGCCCTCCAGCCTGGGCATTGCAGGGAGACTTGTCTATAGAAAAAAAAATTATATATAAACTCACTACCCAGAGAAGACTTAACTTTCTGGTATATGTTTTTCCATTCCTGATAGATACGTAAGGTGTGTGGTCTGCTGCTCTTGTTTGCTTGTTTGGCGCAATTGGACTGCGCTGCTCGTAGCTTTGTTCCCTGCTGCTACTGTTTTTAACATCATCCTGGGAGCATTTCCCACATCTCAACAGGAAGAAAATGGCATACTCAGCTGGGATTTTGTCAGTACAGAGACTGTTCACAAAAGTGAGGGCAGGTGAAAGGAACCCCCAGAGGATTCTGAAGCATCCAGATATGAGTGGGTAGTTATTACTACCATAGAACTCACTGAGGAGCCGGGGCTGCCCCAAAAACCCATAGTCACAGAAGGATGTGAGATGGGTTTTGGCCTCTTTAGACATTAGGGCCTTGGGCAGGAAGCACATCTTTTAATTCGCTTATGTACTCCTCCACAAGCACACATAAGTTCCGGTGCAGACTTTTCTTAACTGAAAGAGTCAAGGTGGGCAAACAGCTTTTGTGCTCCAGATGGTCCTGAGTCAGTTCTGCATATCAGGAGGTTCCAAGCTAAAGAGAGGGGCAACTGAGCAGCCTTCCCTTTGAATATTAGACCATCTTAGTTAATATGACTAACAACTGGCTGATGGTTAACTAAGGTCAACTAAAATAGGAATCATCTCTTCCTCCTTCTGATGGTGAGAGAGTCTAAACAGATGATAGTCAAGGTAAGGTCAGTAGGAAAAGAACTCATTGTATGTGGATTGATTTGGGCTGTGTCCAGCCTTTACTTCCCCCTTTTCTTTGTCTTAAAATATGCAGTTTCCAGTTCAGGAAACAAATTAGAAATTCCAGGCTGACTAGTTCCTGTTCCTTTTTCTCAGAACCACAACCAGCAGTGGAGGGCTAACCATCAGCAGCCTCCTCAAGGAAAAGGAGGGCTCAGAAGTAGCCAAGTTCACTCTGGAGGAGCTCTGCCTCATCTGCAGCATCCTGAGCACAGCAGAGTATTGTCTGGCCACTACTCAGCAGGTGAGCTGTCCTGGCTGCCCACTCACCCCTCCTTTCCCTGAACTCTCTGGGCTGAGGAGCTCAGTGAATAAGAAGATAAGCCCTGACAAGGCCACAGACAACCGTGGGTCAGACCAGTTGGCCTGCCACAGAGAAAAGTTCACTGTCCAGCCGTGTCTGCCCAGGCAGCTGCCTTACAGAAGGGCCTTGTGAAAAGGAGACTGGGCAAAAAAATATGGCTGGTCTCCTCCTTGGAGTTGTGTGAGCTGCTCAAAGGGCATGACCTGTTAAAAGTAGGTCAGTAGCACCATCTCCCTATGAGAAAAGCAGTAACAGACTTTTCTGTAGGAGGACCCAGCCTTTGGTGAGGATGAGTCACAGCCAGTTGTTCCATGCCCAGAAGTGTTACTAACCTAAGCAGAAGCCTTTGGGCTTTTATATGTCTTCTGAAATTTACATAGCATTTTCAGTCTGCCTAAACAAACAACCATTGTTTGAGATGCTGACGTTCGGGAACTGGGAGGCAGGAAAGGGTGATGCCTCTCCTGCAGCCCCCAAATGGCAGTAGTTCAGCAAAGTGATTTAGCAGAAGGAAGACCCAGAAGAACTTTTTATTCAGCCTTAACCACGGGATTAGAAATTCCTTTTCACATTTAGTCTGGGATTCCCCTAAGGCCAAGAGAAAGAAAATAATTTGGGAACGTTCTGCTCTTCACCCCGCTTTGTGTTTATTATTTACTGATGTCTAGATCACAGGAAGACATCATACATAGTAGTTCAGACAGTACAGTGGGGAGTTCCTTGGAGCCAGAGCAAAAATACTGCAGGTCAAACAGGAAGTGTGTCCACAAACTCTCCTGAGTTGTGCATCAGCCAGCCAGAGGCAGGGGTAGCTGCACCCTCTGCCTGGGGCCCTGGTCATGTTGAGTTGCGCAGGTGATCACCTGCCAAGGTTTGGCCTTGGAGCCTGAGAACAATCCGTTGAGCTCCGAGCCACTCCCAGGGTGAGATGGCATTGTCTGTAAGGACCTCCAAAGCAGGGACTCCAGAGTTCTTGCATGATATACACTGTTTAACTATTATGTGTGTATGCAGAAAGAAATACATACATGTAAATATGCAGTTTTGAAGGTAAAAATAACCATAGTATAAATAAAAATGATCGCTCATAATCCCATTATCCTCAAATAATCATATTAGCAATTTGGGGTATTTTTTCAATCGGTTTTCATAGACATACTTTTGTACGTTGTAATCTTAATTCATTGTTGTATCCTTTTATTGTTAGTGTTGTACGTAGCATGAGCATTTCTCCTGTCATTACTGTTGTTAGAATGACATCAGTAATCAATATAACTATCATTATAGTGTCCTCATGACCATTATTGTTTATGCTGCCTCAGATTTCACTTTTATAGATAATCCTGGCAGGGCACAGTGGGTCACGCCTGTAATCCTAGCATTGTGAGAGGCCAGGGCTGAAGGCTTGCTTGGAGCCAAGAGTCCAAGACCAGCCTGGGCAACAGACCGAGACCTGGTCTTTACAAATGTTTAAAAATAAGTTGAGTGTGGTGGCACATGCCTGTGGTCTCAGCTGCTTGAGAAGGTGAGGTGGGAGGATTGCTTGAACCTGGGAGGTCAAAGCTGCAGTGAGCCGTGATCACACCACTGCACTCCAGCCTGGGTGACAGAGTGAGACCCTGTCTCTAATTAAAAAAAAAAAAAAAGATAATCCTTACAAAGAGTGAGCCATGATCACAGGACTGCACTCCAGCCTGGCTGACAGAGTGAGACCCTGTCTCTAATTGAAAAAAAAAAAGAAAAGATAATCCTTATAAAGAATGTCTTTCTGAATATAGCATCTTAAATGTTTTGCATTAGTTTTCTAGAACAGACTCTTAGAAGTTCTAGAAATAAGTTGAAGACCATTTTGATGACTGATGATACAAGTAGCCAATTATTTTTTATTTAGTGAAAATTGTTTTTATTGATTACAAAAGTACTACAATCTTAGCATCTATTTTGTGATCTCTAAATACAATTTTCCACTAAAAGAAACCAGAGATTCCTGGAGAGACGACTATTTCCAGGTCAAGGACAGGAAATATACAAGATGAACCTAGAACATCCTGTTATACAAAAAGCAAGAAGAATATCAGACTGTTATGGTGTCATCTCACAAGGACCCAGGGATATACAGTGGGCTGAAATGTCTCCCTGACCCCAAAGTATATCCAAGTCCTAGACCTTGGGACCTGTAAATGTGCTCTTGTCTTTGTGAATGTAATTAAGTATCTCAAGATGAGATCGTCCTGGATTAAGGGTTGTAGGGGGGCTTATCCAATGACTGTTGTCCTTAGGAGCGAGAGATTTAACACACAGAGACACAGGGAAGGAGGCCACGTGAAGCAGGCAGAGGCTGGAGTCTTGCTTCTACAAGCCAAGGAACATCAAGGATTGCTGGCAAGCATCCGAAGCTAGAACAGAGGTGTGGAACAGTTTCTTCCTCAGAACCTCCAGAAGAGGCAGGGCACAGTGGCTCACGCCTATCATCCCAGCTCTTTGGGAGGCCAAGGGGGAGTGGATCACTTGAGATCAGGAGTTTGAGACCAGCCTGGCCAACATGGCAAAATCCTGTCTCTACTAAAAGAATATGAAAATTAACTGAGTGTGGTAGTGCACACCTTTAGTCCCAGCTACTCAGGAAGCTGAGGCAGGAGAAGCACTTGAGCAGAGGTGAAAGTTGCAGTGAGCCAAGATGGCACCATTGCACTCCAGCCTGGGCAACAAAGTGAGATACTGTGTCTTAAAACAACAAACCAGCTAACCTTGCCAACACCTTGATGTTGGACTTCTGGCCTCCAGAATTTTGAGAAAATGTTTTGGTTCTTTTTAGCCACCAAGTTTGTGATGATTTGTTACAGAAGCCCTGGGAAGCTAATGTAGGCGCCAACCTCAGTGTGCTGCACTGGCCAAAAATGGGACAAACAAGCTGAATGGGGAGCTCAACCTGTAATCCCAGCACTGTGGGGGTCGAGGAGGACAGATCATGAGGTCAGGAGTTTGAGTGAGATCAGCCTGGCCAATATGGTGAAACCGGTCTCTACTAAAAATACAAAGTGTAGCTGAGGTGGGAGAATCACTTGAACCCGAAAGATGGAGGTTGCAGTGAGCCAAGATTGTACCAGTCAACTCCAGCCTGGGTGACAGAGTGAGACGTGGTCTCAAAAAAAAAGATGGCACACATAAACATCAGTGTATATAAGTGAGAGTGTTAGCAATAGTGTATAGAAAACACCAGTGTATGGAAAACACTAGTGTATATCAGTGAGAGTGTTAGCTACAGTGTATGGAAAACATCAGTGTGTGTCAGTGAGAGTGTTAGCTGCAGTGTGTTGAAAGCACCAGTGTGTGTCAGTGAGAGTGTTAGCTACAGTGTATGTAAAACATCAGTGTGTATCAGTGAGAGTGTTAGCTGCAGTGTGTTGAAAGCACCAGTGTGTATCAGTGAGAGTGTTAGCTACAGTGTTTGGAAAACACCAGTGTGTATCAGTGAGAGTGTTAGCTACAGTGTATG